CGGGTAATTAATATTTTATATAGATTTTAATTTGATATCCATAAATATTTTCATTTTTGTATACTTCTTATTTATATTATAGCATTTATGTTTTCGACATTTATAACATAGTTTTATATATATATATATATATTAATTAATTATCTTGAATATCATAAAATATTTAATATAAGATAATCTTTAAAAAATATTATAATATTAAGTTTTAAACCACAAAAATTGATTACCTAATTACCAATAATTAATATAATGAACATTATTTTTAAACTATTTAAGTACCTATTGGCTTGTATAACAATGTTTTTTGAACAAAATAGAAAAAGATAAAAGTCTTTAAAAATAATTGATAAAGAAGAGAATTATGAGAAATGGTTAGAATTAGTAAAGGAACACGACTAATAAGATTACATATAATAATGGTTATAAAAAGAGGAATCTAATCTATATCAATATAAATATATAAAGAATTTGAACCAAAAGTTGAGAATAGCAAAATAGGATAAGAATATCCCTCTAATTTGTCAATTGCTTAGATAAAATGCAAATAGAAATATAGGAAATATCCTTAATCCAAAATTATATTCTCATGCATTCATGAAAACAAAGAACTTAATAGAGGAATTTTAAGAAGTAAATTATTCTTAAATTATTCTTAGGAATATGAGAACTGTTTAGAATTTTTATATAACTCTGAATTTCCAAACAAAATTCAATTTTTTTAAGAATTACAAAAGGCAATAGGATAAACGGCATTATTATTTTCAGGTGGTGCAATTATGGGATTGTATAGTTGTGGAATAGCTAATATTTTAGATAAATTGAATTTATTACCTAAAGTTATGACTGGTAGTTCAGCAGGAGCTATATTAGTCAGTTTAGTTGGAACAGCTACAGATATCCAAACTATATTTTAACCAAAATATTATGATTATTCAATGTTTGAATAAAAAACCTAATTTGATATTCTAGATAAAATAAGTAGATTATTAACTAAAGGATATATGTTAGAGAAGGAATAAATGCAATAATTTTTATAGAAGGCTTATGGAGATGTCACATTTTTGGAAGCATATAAGAAGACAGGAAAAATAATGAACATTATGGTTACTGGAAAGGATTGTTCATCATCTGATTGTTTGCTTAATTATATTACTTCTCCTAATGTAATAGTATGGTCAGCAGTTTGCTGTTCTTGCTCTTTACCTGGAGTTTATGGAGCTTCTCATTTATATTACAAAAATGAATAAGGGGAAATTTATGAAGGAGAAATCAAATATGTTGATGGATCAATAAGTGCTGATTTACCTATGTAATAATTAGCAGAATAATTTAATATCAATTATACTATAGTATCACAAACTAATCCTTGGGTATTTCCCTTTCTTACTTCTCATAGAAGTGACCATACTATCATTAAAAAGATTACTGATAAATTATTACAATTTATTTTAGGAGAAATTAAATACAGAATTCAATAAATTATTAGTATAGGATTTCTTCCAAAAATGTTATGTAGAATGTCTAATTTATTAATACAAAAGTATGAAGGAAATATAACTATATGGCCTAAATTTTTATGGTTGGATTATTCTAAACTTTTAGATAATCCTGATGAATTTACAGTATAGAGAATGAAAGTAGAAGGTTAAAGAAGAACATATGAAAGTACTTTATTATTTTATTTTAGAATTACACTTTATATATGCTGCTACACGATTAGAAAGATGCTTATCAAAATACTTAAATTGATTATTTTATTATAATAATTTGTAATTGTTTTATTTTAATAACTTATTTAATGTCATTAGGAATAGATTTTGAGTAATATTAATTTGATAGAAGACTTAAAGAATTACAAGATAGAGTCTTAACTTTAAATCATAGATCACCTCAAAATTATAATTTTCAATCAATGCCAACAAGAGAACCTTAAAACTTAAATAATTAAATGTTCTCTTATCCTTCTGGTTATCCTCCATAATAACCTTATACATTTGCACCCTATATGTAGAACTTTAATCCATATTAATAATAATACATCTTAGATGAAAAGAGTATTTAAAAGAAAAAAGAAGAAAAAGAAAGAAAAAAAAATGAATAGAGACAATTAGAATTAAAACAATTAGAAGAGCAATTAATAAAAAAATAAGAATTAATGATATCTAATATGAAGAAGGATATTTTAGATTATATAGATCCTTACATATATGGACCATATCATAATTATTATAATTACTCTCAATAATAGTAATAAAATTACTTATAGTAATACAATTAAAACTTACCAATATAACATTAAAATCAAGTTCCAATATATTCTCAGAATCCTCCTCCAATAAATTTTTAACCATCATAATATATGTAATAATATTAATATCCATATGTTTCATAAAATTTGAATGGAACACCTTAGCAAATTAACAATTCATAGTTCTCCAAAATTGGATAGTAATCTATGTAAAAGATAGATAATTTATTAACTGGAATCTGAATAATATTTATTTATCTACTGAATTTATAATGTTAGCATTAAAGATTATTATAGATCATTATACAAAAATAGTACTTTGATTAGGAATAAGTCGCTTATATTCTTTTATTTTCTTTATTTTAATTGATGATGAAGACGTATCCATAATTATAGATTATGTTTTTCCAATAATTGTAGTTTCACTGCTTTTCTTTTTTTTAATCTTTTTATTGATCCTATTCTTATTCTAAGATAAACCTTTTGGAGTAAGGGTTTCTTCATTTTCTGATTGCAATTTTTAAATATTAATGAAATCTAAAGGAATGTTTTAAATCAGCCTTCTTTTACCTTCAACTAACATCTCAAAAATTGATTATTAATACAAATTATCTAAGTTACCTCCAATTTCTAGAAAGGTTCTCTTTAATTTATAAATAGAATCAGTTCGTTAACATCTTATACATGTACATAATCCCTTGAATAGTAATAAATTACATACTTTACATAATGGACAAATCCAATTGGGTTCAGAAAGATCATAATTTTCAAATTCATACTTCAAGCATTTAAAACAGAAATATTTTTAACACTGGATTTAATTATCTTATTATAAATATTTTTATTTACTTTCTATAATATAATTAGCAGAATAAAGATCTATATAAAATTATTACATTTATTTTTAAGTAATTGCATATCTCTATTAGATCAGTATTTCATCATTGTATTAATGTAAATTCATATTTACATGATTATATTTACATTATTATAAATTGGTTATTTCTATCATTTATCTACATATATGACACATTTCAGTTTGAATAGAAACCATAGTTTATACTTCTTCTTAAATTTCCTATTATTAAACGCTTAACTCCAATTATAAATCACGAAGTCTTTATAAATTTTGAAATTAATCTAGTTTTAAATCTATAGGAGTTCTGCTTAAATATGAATCAAAAGTAACAGTCACTAAATTAGCTATATAAATTATTAAATTATATACTTTCTTAATTATATATAGCCTTTCCCATAGACTCTGCTACTTAATAATCTTGATAATGAATTATCAATTTTTCTAGATTCTCTAGTTCATTTTATTGATGTTAAACTCGATTTCTTGTAATTCTTAAAGCAAATTGACCTATTTGTTTAACAGTATATTAATATAATAAATATTTATTGATTTCTTCTAAATGACCTGCAAGACTAAAACTTAATAAATAACATACTTATTAAGTTATTTGATATTCTTGTTTTAAACATTTATTAAATCATCTTCTAATTCCATTATTACTTATTCCAATTGATCAGGCCAATCTATTTATTGTTATATACATTATAATATTGCGGCTTCTTATTATAAAATCTCCATTTATTTTTCTAAAGGTAATTTATTCATATTTTTTAGCAAAGACTTATTTGATTCCAACCCATCTCTTAATTCTTACTCACAAATCTTATCAATCATTTCATCAATTAATTCTTGAATTGGCTCGAATGATTTTTCTCTTTACATTAACAATAAACTTAAATGTAGCTTTAAGTTATTGTTATTTAACTTATTAAGTTGTGATCTATTTTTTTTCATAGGATTCAATATTTTTTCTATCAATCCTTAAGTTTATATACTAAAAAAATGGGATGCTAAAACTAACATTTAAAACCTACTTTTTTTGTATATTTTTTTCTAAACATTCAATGATATTGGTGTTTCTACCATAAAATATTATAGATTCACTTATCTCCAAAAATCTGATGTAAAAAGAGATTCAACACTTTTATCCATTTTTAATATTAATTTTTACAATTAATAAAATGCCCTCATAAAATCTATAAAATCAACCTCATTTATAATAAAAATTCAATCATTGTCAGAATAAACTTACATTAATTAATATAATTATGCTGTCAATTATCATTTTATATTTCTAATATATATTAGATAGAAAAATCAAAAATAATAATATTTATAAAGTATTATTATTTACTGTTAATAAAGTACTGGATGATAAATTAAGAAAAATCTTTAATTTCAGAATTTTCTATCTTAAATTATTATGTTAATCATTATCTTAATGTGATTTTACCTAATATTTATTGTAAAGAAATAGTTAATCATAATATATTATAATTAATTATAAACATACAATTAATTCAATTTTTTTTATTTTTATCTAAATTGATAAGATAATTTTTATAACTTAGGTTTCTGTAATAATTTAATAAAGTAAGACTAATCAAAATAAATATTTTTTTAGAATAACTAATTAATTAAATATATTTCAGTATATCTATATAGAATTACTAAATTATCCTATTTAATTAATAGATAAATTATAAATAAATATCTATTACTATCTTAAGTCTTTGAAATAGAATTTATTGTCTAATACTACTTAATTTCTTTAATTATATATTAAAATTGTTTATTAATTTATTCTTCTATATCAGATATTTATTTATTAAACATTTTCTATTTAATCATTATTTCAATTTTAATATTTTTATTGTTTTCTATTTAAAAATTTATCTGTTAAAAATGAATTAATCAGCCCCTAAAAGATCATCAAGTTTTGGCAAATCGTTTAACTTTCCGTTTGAAATCTCTTCAAAAGAATCAAATAGATCTATATACTTAACTGAAACAAAGACCAAAAAAATTGACAGATCAATTAATGTTCCTTTAAATAGTTGGAGAGAGTTGTCTCTAATTGAATTACTTAATGAAGCAATAGAATTGTTATAAGAAAACAAATCTAATATTATTGACTAATAAAAAGTGTAATTAGTATTAATATCTAGTTTAAGAGATTGATTACATAATATGAAAATTTTAAACAAACTAACGAAAAAAAGTAGATGCTCTTCTAAAAAAGATCTAAAATTATTAAAAGTAATATAGAAAATATAATATCATCATAAAATGACTTTTAAAATTACTTATAAGGTGTAAAGAAATTATGACATAAATAATTATTTTTATGAGCAAACTTGAATATTTAGTGATAATAAATTATATATATATATATATTTTCATCCCCTAATATGATTCTTTAATAATATTTTTTGTTTAAAAGTTCTTTCTCAGAATACTCTAAATTACAAATAAATATAATCAAATAATTATATTACTAATTTAAAGAATAATATGATAAAATTATTATAATTTATATGCAAAAAGAATAAAATTTTATTTTTTCAAAGCTCCCCTTTATGATAGCTTCTTGTTTAATATTTTCATAAATTATTATTCAAATCAAATTACAGTTTCATTCTTCTAAAAGCTGATAAGATTAACAACCTATATCACTTGAACCCTTTTGGCAAAATTTAAAGTATAAAAATTCTTTCTTTCTCTAGGATGTGTGGAACAAATCTCTTGTAAAGAATCTTCTGATAGAAAATCATAATCTATATCTTCATCCTAATTTAGATCTCTTAATTATTTTATAGGTTAGAATAATTCAACAATTGAAAAATTGAATTTGATGAATTCCAATATACAAGTTTTGATAGTTTCTTCATTTATAGGTTAATCAAGAGGAAATTCTTCATAAATTGGTTTAAGTTCCTCTGCTTTTCTATCATTTTATTATTTTCTCTCTTTAATTTATCTTCCTAACTCTCTTTATTTATTTTTAATTTATTCTTATCTTAGATATTGTTCCCTTAATGCTTCTGAATCATAAAATTTAATTATAATTCCATTATTACTTTTTGGAAATTCATGTACTTTAGATATTTTTAATTTTTTAACTTCATCAACCAAACTTTCTATACATCTCTAAGTATAATTTTTTTCATGAATTTCTTTCATTTAATAATAATTATATTTAGGGATTTCAAATGGCTCCTAAAAAACTAAATATTTGATGATTAATATACATTTTTTTATTGGTTAATCTAGTAAGAGTCCTTTTTTGTTGCAATATTTGACATAATCATAAATATCATTATAATGATGAATTTCTAAATATTCTAATAATTTTGGATGTGGAACACATTTCCAAAATATTGGATCATTTTCTATTTATTCTAAATAAATTTCTCTTAATGAAACTTATTTTCCTCTTGTTTTAAAGCTACTTCTGAATTGAGATATGTATTAAAAATCTTCTTCCCAAGAATCTTCATCATTTTAAATAGGGTTTTTTCTAACCTTTTTTGATGTTCGAGGTTCTGATTCTTGTTCCATCTCTGAAAAATCCAAAAATGAGTTCGACTCATTAGTTTAAATCATTATTTAATAAGAAAACCATTTCCCAACTAATCATTAAATGAAAATCCTTATTATTTTTTGTAATAATTGTTATTTCATTTTAAGAGAGACATTTTCAGATATAAATGTATAAAATTATACATATCCTTATTTTCTAAATTGATTAACTTAAATATATTTTGAAAGGAATACTAGGTTAAAAATTAATTATTATAAAATATCTAATAATATTATTTGCTATATCCCATATTCTTAAGATATGAAAAAAATTAATTATAAATTTAAAAAGACCTAATTTTGATCAGATACTGAAAATATAAATTATAATTAATATTATATTTAAAATTCTCATTAATTGAGTCTTTAAATATTCTTAATCCCTTTTTATTTATTATTAATGTGGAATTTCATAGATTAGAATCTAAATTTTCTATAATATTTTTAAATTGAACATGGATTTGTTTAATAAATTATTTATTACTCTATATATAAACAATGACAGAACATCAGATCAACATGATTTAATATTAATTCATAGAAAATAGGTGTATTAAATATTTGAATTTAATCTATTATGAATTATATTTGATTTCATCATACCATATCAAAATCATCTTCATTATTGTTTTGCTGTTTCCATAATTGATCCCAGATATCATCTTATCTCTGCAACTTAAGATTATTGAATTAATCTATAAGACTACTATCCTATTGAACTTAATTATTGTTAATTGGTATCTCAATTGCCATATTATTAGGATTTTTCAAACCCCAATTAGGATCTCCTTACAAATATTGGTTTTCCATATTGTTCTGATCTAATTAGATGGGAGCATCAGGTTCTTTTTTATCAGGACATATGATTATATGTTGTTCCATGTCCTAGATAAGATTATTAAATACTTCTCCTCTAAATATATGCAGGAAATTGTATGGACAGTGTCTATACATATGCTTGTTCATTTTACGTTCTTGGCATTCCTTAGATATGTGAAAGATAAGCCTATTAGGGGCCATTTTATGCAAATGATTGAAGGGACAACAAACTTATTACTATTATTACATAGATTAGACTAAAATATAATCACCCACTTTATAATGAAATATTAATGGGATTTTATAATTAATAATTATTTTTTAAAACGGATAAAATGAGAACAAAACATCTAGTTTTAATAGGTGTTATTATAATGCAAGGTATGATATATTTAAAAACTGTTTAGTTTGCTTTGTGTAAGCATTGCACTATGATTTGACAACACTTCTGGATTAATAAAATGAAGTTGACTGTGAGAATACAGACTTTGTATAAATGCTTTAAGACTTTGATTCATGGAGTGAAATAATAGAATTGTTATAAGGTGGATAATTAGATGCAGAAATGAAATAACTATAAGAACTTTCAGATTTTACAAATGAAATGATATCTGGTAATTATTTTTATTAAAAAGTTAGCAAATCCAAATGATATAATGGAAGACCAATAATATGATGAATAATTAGAATAAATGGATGAATAATTATAAACAATTTAGAATTAATATAATGGTCCTCAAAGAAAATTCTTATTTGAATAAAGCAGACAAATTTCAGACTAAATCAGAAGAGTAATTGAATCAAGTATAATATAATATTAATGATTTAATAGGATCCTTTGAATAAAAGAGATCATAATTGGCTATGTTATATGGATTGATTGAATATTTATTGAAACAAATTTCTAGAGTATAAAATCAATATTAATAAACAACATAACCATAGCCTAGAGCCTAATCAGTTTAATAATAACCATAACCACAATAAAGAATAAAAGAATAAAAAGAAAGAATAATTGCCATAAAAGATAAATGTGGTGATAGATATTAATAAAGAAAAGTATCTAAGTAAAGAGTAGTTCCAGGAAATTACAGATAAAATGATCATCCAGTACCTGAAGAAGTAGGTTGTGACATTCCTTTCCCATAATAAAGATAACCAAAATGTGTTGTGGGATCAGATATAGTATTAACAAGTTCTATCTCTGCTGATTAACCAACTGTTGAAACAGAAGTAAAGAAATTGAATGATGTAAATGAATATGGTTTTGGATTTTGGATGAGATTTTTAACATTGTATCCAGAATAATTATAAACTGGTTTAACTGACTAATCTTATTTTGTTGCTAAATTGACAAAGAATTAATAGGATGGAGATGATAAAATTGGTGATAGATTATTAACAATATTCTAAACTTAAGAATAATACATTTTCAGTGCTTAACATGATAAACCTGAAAGAAAAGAAGCTACAGCTGCTATTGTTTTTGGAGATATTGAAGCTGTTTGGACATATGTTTATTATAGTTATTCAGCTTATCAATAATAAGCTATTGGTTTCTATAAACAATCAAACAGTTAATTAGTTAAATAAGTGACATTACCAGCATCTTAAGGAACTCCAAAATATTTGAGATTTGTTTTGGGAGGTCAATATTTCGATTTCCCAGGATTCAATGGTCAAATTAGTAGACCAGTCTTAGCAATTGGTTTGGGAACTTATTTAATTAATGAATAAGAATTTTTGTAATATGCTATTTCATGCAATCCATAACCATATGTTGCACCATAAAAATTAATTCCATATTAATTTGCTAGAGAATCCACATATGTTGATATTGAAGATAACAATGCACCACCTACATAAGAATTTATTGACTTATTATTACCTGATGAATATGCAGTTTAAGGTTGGTTCAAATGGGAAGAAACAGATTTGTAAGAGAACTGGCACACCATGTTTAGATTATCAAATACACCCTTAAGAAAATAATAAATCTTATTAGGTGAAAGAGTTTTGGCTGCTTGGTTAGGTAAACCAAAAGGAGGATAAATCCACTTTTCAACATATTCTTATGCAAATATGAAAGGATCTGGTAATCCTAATGCACATCAATATGTCTAACATTAAGATTAACATTTACATTGGCATTTTGTATACTTTGGTTACAGCAGAGATTAAAGAAAGGCATATGCTTAAGTCTTATTCAAACATGTTCATGCTAAATCTTTAAGTTTCGTCAATGTCAATCATTTTGTATCACCAAAGCATTATTTCTATTTTGGAAGAGAGAGACAATTCCCAGTCTACAGTGGATTTATGGCCTATCTTGAAGTATTCTTCTGTAAAGGATCTTATTTAACAAATGTTAAACCAGCTTTAAGACCAGTACCAACACCACCTCCCCCTAAAAAGAGATGTGTTGAAGGACCAAATAGAATAATTAATGCAAAATATGATAAAGGTCCAGTTGTTCATGTTGAATTACATAAAGATGATTTGAAAGACACTACTTAATATGGTTATGGATTCTGGTTCAGATATACTGGTTTGGCAGGTGGATAAAATGAAAATAGTAGACCAGATTGGTCATTGATTGCCCGTCTTACAAATAAGAAGGAAACACCAAAAGATATTAGAGATGGTTTATTAACTATTTTCTAAGGAAAAGTTGGTTTCTTTTATATCACTGCTAATAATAAAGCTAAGAAATTAGTAGAATTAGCTTAACCATTTGGAGATATTGAAGGAGTTTGGATTTACACTTATTTCAGTTATACTAGATATAAGGCTATTGCATTTTATTAGATTGAGAATTAAGCTCCAATTACCTTAGAAGCCAAAGTCACACATCCAAGAATGGAATAATTATTATTCTAAGTTGGTGGAAAGGATCCATAAGATAGATATTATTCATTTAATGGTTAAT